AACGCATGTCATACCGGCGCAATTGTTGAAATACTTCAGGAAGATCAACTACATGGCGGGCCATGTCGTGGGATTTAACAACCATGTCATCAACATACACCTCCATGCTTCGACCGATTTGGTGCCGGAAGACTTTGTTCATCAATCTCTGATAAGTTGCACCTGCATTTTTTAACCCGAAGGGCATAACCTGATAGCAATAATTGGCCGAATTAGTTATGAAAGCTGTTTTTTCTTCGTCACGGGGATGCATGGGGATTTGATTGTATCCCGAATAAGCATCGAGAAAGGTGAGGATTCTGTGTCCGGAGGCACCGTCAACTAACCGATCTATGTTCGGGAGTGGGTAAGCATCCTTGGGACATGCTTTATTGAGATTAGTGTAATCAGTACACATTCTCCATTTTCCGTTCGGCTTTTTCACCATTACCACATTTGCTAACCAAGTGGTGTAGTGAACTTCCCGAATGAATCTCGCTGCTAGTAACTTGGACACCTCTGCCTCTACTGCTTGCTTCCGTTCGGTTCCCATTTTCCTTTTACGCTGGGCAACCGGTCTCGCTTCGGCACAAATTGATAATTTATGACACATGATATTGGGATCTATGTCGGGCATGTCGGAAGGTGTCCATGCAAAAAGATCTTTGTTTTTCATTATCGCCCGGCGCAAGATAGAACAGTCTTCTTCAGATGTGTCGGCACCGATGTATGTGACTTGAGCCGAATTCGAGCCGATCTATAGCTCTCTTTTTGATTCTACCGGCTCTACGCGTTCTTCATCATTCATTCTTGGATCAAGATCCCAAACTGGTTCTTCAACTGATGCCGAAGAGTTGACGACATGAACACTTTTGGACTTTGATTTTCTTTCGATGGGAGCTACTTGCAAGCTAGCAAAATAACATTCCCGAGCAGCTTTTTGGTCGGCGTGGATGGTGATGATTTTCCCCTTATCAGAAGGGAACTTCATTGCTAGGTGCGGAGTTGACACAACAGCGCCTAGCATATTCAACGATGGTTGTCCCAAGAGGATGTTGTAAGATGTGTGAGCGTCTACCACGATGTATTTTATCTGAATTTCCCTGCTTTCCTGTTCGTCAACACAAAAACGAGTGAAAAGCTTAATATACCCTTTGGTGTTCACCCTCTCCCCTGCAAAACCGACCAAAGGGTCGTCATATGGGACCAACTCTCTTTCAGAAATACCCAACTGCTTAAAGGTATTCCAATACAAAATATCTGCCGAACTGCCTTGATCCACCAGCGTTTTCTTTACTATACAGTTGTGGATTTCGACGCTAATCACCATTGGATCATCTTGCTCAGGATCGATGCCTTGAAAATCAGCATCAGTGAAAGTTATTGTTGGTAATCGTCGGGGAGATTGCCTATCCACATTATTGACCGAACGAATAGCTCTAAGGTGTCTCTTTCGGGCAGAAGATGTCGAGCCGCCACCCGCAAATCCACCTGCGATTGTGTTTATGACCCTCCGACGTGATGGTGCCGGATCATCTCTCTTTTCTTGCGACCTACTTCGCTCGCGCCGAGGTCTATCAGACCGATCCTGCGCATGCCGATCGTTGTGTCGATACTGGGACGAGGAGCGGGGACGATATGAAGCTGGCCGATCCACAAAATTGTGCAACTTGCCTTGCTTGACCAAATCTTCAATTTTATCTTTTAAGGCGGCACACTCTTCAGTTGAGTGTCCGCGATTTCGGTGATACCTGCAGGTTTTGCTGGTATCGGCGCGTGGCGGAGTGGAAGCTCTCTTTGGAACCGCCAACACTTCTGCTGCCAAAGCCTGCTCCAGTATCGCTGCCCGGCTTGCATTAAGAGGGGTGTAATTGGAGTATTTGGGACCTCGCACGGGCCGGTCCCGAAGAGCTATTTCTTTGCCTCGCCCCCTGTATGTCTGTTCGATTGGCTTCTCGGGTTTGGCCGGCTGGTCAGCCCGAGCTTGACTTCGAAACTCGGCCAACTCCTCCATTTGCATATATTTATCCGCTCTTCTGCGCAGATCATTCATATCTGAAGGAGGCTTCTTGCACAGGCTATTGACGAACGGCCCTGGTTTTAAAGCCGTCGTCTGGTGATGAAGTGCTACCGCCGGGTTAAGATCTCGGATTTCCAAGGCTGCCTTGTTGAACCGATCCATGAACGTCCGCAGCGATTCTTTCTTATCTTGCCGAAGGCTAACCAACGACAAAGATGTCAGGCTATGAGGACGGCTGGTTGCGAACTGAACTGTGAATTGAGATGACAGAGTATTGAATGAGTCGATCGAGTTAGGGGGTAGCCGAGTGAACCAGCTCAACGCCCTACCCTTAAGGGATGTGGGGAAAATGCGACACAATGCAGCATCATCCGTAGTACTCAGGGTTACCTGCGTAAGAAAAACATCAAGATGTTCATCAGGATCAGTGGTACCATCATATTTATCAATGGGTAAAGATTTCCAATTGTCCAGAAGAGAGAGTTGCATTATGGAGGGGGTGAAAGGGTGTCGGTGTGAGCCGATGGTTGTCAAATCTGCAGGCCGACCGACAGTGGGTAAGGCCGAGGGGTGCTTTTCAGGTGCTACTGCCGAGGCACGAGGGACCGATGTATGGATCGTATGGGACTGGTGCGACCCTTGGGTTTGCGTATTGGTGACCTGAGTAGGTTTCCATGAGGTGTCTTGATTCCTTAGTGCCTCATTCTCAGCTTTCAAGGCCGAAAGCTCCTTAGCGTCTTTTTCTCGCTGTTGTTTCATAGCCTCCATCTCTTGTTTCAATAGACGGACGGTTTCAGAAAGGTTGGTTTCATCCACCACCTCGACATGTTCTTCTTCGTGTTGCTGATCTACCGTGTTCGTCCTCCTTGTTATCGCCATTGTTTTGCTCGATTAATCTTCTAAGATCGTCTCGGTTCGGCCCCACGGTGGGCGCCAAATGTACCTGTCTGAAGGGCACACTAAGTCTTCTTGTAGTTCGAAGGCCGAACGAGACTCCCGATCCAATAATCCGATACGCCGAAGAGGGGGTTGGTACCTGCAAAAGGCACTCCAACGCTCAAGTCAGGACAAGCTCGAATCTCTAGGATAATTAATGAACAGTGACGTTACCTTTTGTCCTGAGCTATTTATACTGTCATTTATGGGCCCGGACCCCATGGGCCTCGCAGCATACTTACTGTATTAGGTAATACACCCTAATCAACTAATTAATCCCTAATTACTTGATTAAAAGTAATAAGTGACGATAGGCCGATCCAGGTGGCCGATTGGCATTCGGCTGCCTGGTTCTGCCATTCAATGGCCGACAGGGTGGTGGCCGACCTCCCTACCCGTACAATAGGCTTATGGCATGTTGTATTATTTTTTGAAATGAATATTGTGGGCTAGCTATTTTGGATCTTGATTTTTTGTAATTACAATTATAGCCACATTGTTTTATGTCTTGAATAAATATTGTTTTAGGAAACAAAGTTTAGTTTTAAATAAATATTGTTAAGGGTAGTTATTTTAAATAAATATTGCTAAGGGTAGTTTAGGAAGCAAAGTTTAGTTTTTATATCAAATCAATAAAATTAAATGAATTTAATTAATATCTCTAACATGTGTAAATTTAGGTATTTTTATTTGTATATGAGTCTAGAGGGAGTAGTAATTATTGATTGCAAAATGGTATGTTTTATGGGATAAATGGTCTGCTAATGCATTAAAAATATCTAATTTGGTATTTTCTGGCATTTATATCATATTTGTTTGAATTCCATTTATCTGAGTTAATAATATTATACTCATTAGATGTTTTGTGTGAACTTGCACTCTTGTAGAGAAAATGAACAATGAAGATCAACCATCACGAGAACCAACCCCACAATCTTCACAATAACCAGTTCCATGTCAAGGTTCTACCAGTAGTGGTCAAGCACTGATAAATGAATTACGCCAAGCACCTTCAGAAGCATCTGATCAAGTAGAGTCAATAACACAAATAGAGAAAGGGAGGCTAAAAAGTGTTGTATGGCAACATTTTGAAAAGATTAGAATCAATGGAAAAGATAAAAGCTAAATGTAACTATTGCAAGAAATTGATTGGGGGAGAAGCAAGGAATGGAACAAAGCACTTGCACCACCATTTAGATATATGTGTTTTAAAGAAGGCTTCTATAAGTGGGAAGGGGGGACAAACAATGCTTTTTTCTGTTTTAGGATGTGGGAAAAAAGAATTGGCATGTGGTAGTTATAATGAAGAAAATGCAAGGAGGGAGCTTGCATTGATAATTATATTGCACGAATATCCACTTTCAATAGTGGACCATATTGGATTTGTACGATTTGTAGCAGTAATTCAACCATTATTTTAACTTCCTTCAAGAAATACAATGAAGAAAGAGATGCTTGGTATCTATGAAGATGAAAAACAAGTTGTCATGAAGCTGATAGATACAAATGAAGGAACAGTGGCAATTACATCATATATGTGGACTGCAAGTAATCAAAAGAAAGGTTATATGGCTATCACAACTCACTATATTGATGGAAATTAGACCTTACAAAGTATCATTTTAAGGTACAAAGTTTCTTTAATTTATAGCTTTTTTCAATAATTGGTTTTGCATTTTTTTTATCTTTTTATATAACAATATGATTAAATGTATAGGTTCGTTTATGTTCCTGCACCTCACACAGCCAATAGACTTTGCAATATATTGATTGATTGTTTGTTGGATTGGAATCTTGATACCAAATTATCCACTATTACTTTGGAAAATTGTAGCACAAGTGATAGCATGATTGAGAAAATTAAGGATAAGTTGCAATTAGATAGACTAATTCATAATGGATCCTTGCTTCATATGTGTTGCTCTACATATATCCTCAATTTGATTGTGAAAGAAGGGTTGGGAGTTGTAAAAGAAGGGGTGGAAAAACTTCGGGAAAGTGTAGCATATTGGACAGCAACACCTAAGAGGGTGGAAAAATTTGAAGAAATAGCTAAATAATTGTAAATTCCTTTCAACAAAAAATTAACTTTAAATTGTTCAACAAGATGGAATTCCACTTTTAAGATGCTTGATATTGCTTTAAGTTATAAGGATGTGTTTTTTTCGATTAAAGCAACGTGAATCTCAATATACTTGTTTGCTAACTGAATCACAATGGGAGTTTACAAAAGATGTTTGTGGGAGATTGAGAATGTTTAATGATATCACAGAAATAATTTTTGGATCCAAATACCCAACTGCCAACATTTTTTTCCCAAAGATTTGTTTGATCAAACTTGTAATAGATGAATGGGTAAAGTCTCCTAATCAAATCATTCACAATATGGCAGAACAAATGTTAAAGAAATTTGAAAGTTATTGGAGTGTCATTCATGATATCGTGGGAGTAGCTTCTGTTTTAGATCCAAGGTACAAAATGGGTTTGCTTGAATATTATTTTAATAAATTATATGATATTGATTGTGATTTGGAAATTAGTAGAATCCGTCAATTGTGTTATGATTTGATTTCTGAATATCAAGCAAAGATGATTGAAGGGTCTTCTTTTAGGTTTTCATCATTTGAGGAGGGAAATGTTGGTGATAATGGCATGAGTTATTTTGTAAAGTTCATGGCAAAAAAGAAAAAAGTTAGAACTTCATCTATGAAAATAGAGTTGGATCATTACTTGGAGGAAGATAATTTACCTATTACATCGAGTTTTGATATCTTATCATGGTGGAAAACAAATGGGTTGAAGTATCCAATACTTCAAGTAATTGCAAGGGATGTAATCATACTAACGTAGAAGCTTTTATGTGTACTAAAAGTTGGTTATGGAACTTAGACTATCTAGATAAATTAATATAAAAAAAAGTATATTAGCATTAATGGCCAATTAGTAATTTTGTATCAATTTTCAATTAATATTCTATATTTGATGTTTGTAGGTGCTAAAGCCATTGAAGAAAAAATTGCTTTAATGAGTGAAAGTGAATCTGATGATGAAGGTATATTATATTTTAATATTACAATTTTTTAATTTGATTTGTTATATCTAAAGTTTATCATTGTGTATTAGGTGGATTGAATGCAAGTGGAATTACTAAATATGTGCAAAATTAATCGATGTTGTGAGTGAATTTCAATTTTATTAGTCCAATATAAATTTTCAATTCTACTTTTAAAAATTTTCATTTATAACTTAATTCTAATTTTTTAAAATTGTCTTATGATAGGTGGATCGAAGCTTAATGACATTACTCAACATTTTTCACTTGCAAGATGAATTTTATTTATTATTTGAGAAATTTTAATTTATTTTGTTATTTCAACTCAACATTGTGGTTATTTATTTGTGACATTACTCAACATTTATGGTTGCTTAATTTGTAAGATTTTAATTATGTGTAATTGTTTAATTTGTAATATGTTAATTATGTGTGATTGTTTATTATAATGTCAAATATTTGTGGATGTTTAATTATTAAGAAGTCTCTTGATTAAATTATGAAATAAACAAACAACCCAATTACAATTGTAATATAATGGAAAAAAAAAGCTAAAAATATTGTGTGTATTTTTGAAAAAACTTTTTTTAATGGGTACAGGTACCGATGTAGGTACGAGTACCGGTATGAGTACGAGTACGGGTACATGTATACCCGATACCCGATGGGGACGGGGACGAGGATGAGGACGAAAATTATATACCCAACGAGTACGAGTACTTTTAAGTCAGACAAAGACGAAAGCAATTCCCAGCAAGGTTTTAAATGAGACAAATATAATACATATTGTTATTACTAACAAGTGTGTTAGTGTTTCAGATACAAGTACAAGTAAACTGCTGAATAAAGAATATACATTCATACCAGAATCAAGGAGATCCGAGGCAAGCATTGGATAAAGGCTGAGCAAACAAAGGGAATACATCAGATGAAGACTCAGACGATACAAGACCTTAGACGATGGGCAAATCCTAGCAAGAGCACCTTAGACGGAGTCAAGTACTTACAACAGCCAACTAGACAAGACTCGAACACATAGACGAAGATCAGGAATGTTGGACTGTGTCTGAAGAACACAATACGACAAACTACCTAGCATCCACATCTCAGAAGAACATATGAAGTCATCAAAGTGTAAGGAGAAAGAAAAGAAAAATGGACTAGCGCATATCCACAAATCAAAGTTGCGTGTGTCAGAGCAAGTACGCCTACCAGTCAGCAAAGGACAACGCCTATGTATCAGGAAAGTACGGAGATATCCTAATTCCAGATATAGAAGCAATCAAATGGTACAAAAAACCTCGTAGAATGCAGATCAAGCAGATTCAGCAAGTAAACATTTAATGCAAGATCAAAGGCATTAAATACAAGAATCCACAAAGCCTGCGCAAAATAAACAAGATTCAGATGATGGTTAGTCAAACATCAAAATTAGGATGAATCACGGATGGAAGAACATTCAACAAACACAGGATTGAAGCATCAGACGAAAAGCCAAAGCAAACTAACTCAAGCACAAGACAAAAGAAGGTTAAACATCAAATAAAGCTCATGTAACCTTCAGATGAAGAGTAATCGAGGCAAGGCATGTCATAAGAACCAGACAAGTCAAGGCAGATAGTAGATGAAGTAAATGATAGAGGAAATTGGGCGTCAATAGATAAATGGATGGAACACGAATGAGGGCCAGATGATCATAAAAGCACGAGACATATGTCTAAGGTCAAAAAGAAAGTCAACTATGCATCAAAAGAAAGATAGCACAAACTGAGAGACACTCCAAATGGAAACAATGTTTGTATATTCACATTGTTAATCAGACCAAAGAAAAGTCAAAGCACTAAACTCAAACGCAGAAGCAAAAGTCAAAATTGAGATGCACAAAACAAATAGATGAAGATGAAGACTGGCAAGCAAGAAAATAAAGAATCACGTCTCAAGAAACAAGTCAAGACATCGTCTATGATTACACAAAAACTTTCAACGTAAAACGCGTGATCTAAATGAAAAAGAAGAAGAGAAGCACGCAAAAATAGAGCACGCATGTGTTAGAAAAAGTGCATTACTTTTTCAGAAAAGGACAACGACTATATTGCTATATGACCAAAAAAGGACAAATAATTTCTTGGTCTAAGATAAAGTCAAACACTGCTACAAAAAGACAGAGAAGAATACACGCAATGTCTAAGAACAGGAAGCAACATTTAATGCAAGGTCAAATGCATTAAATGAAAGGATCAAACTAGTTGTGAACGACTATATCAGCTTCAACGGACATATGCAACAGGAAGCTTCACATCAACGGACATATTAAAAATCAAGTAACGGGCAGATTCTACAAATATATATATATATATATATATATATATATATATATATATATATATATATATATATATATATATATATATATCTCTCTCTCTGTGCGATATATATATATATATATCACTATCTCAAACCTTAAGAAATTGGCTTTTTGATTGGAAGAAAAAGAATGATATCAAACCCACGAGACAGAGACCAGAGATGAGCATACATAGTCATATGTCCAATGTTATATTATATTTTTATCTCTGTAGACTAAGGTGTTCGAAATGTCAATGATGGACTAAACCTTAGTGAGTGTTGTAAACTTATGTATCCTCTCCATGAGAGTAACCCACACACTCAATCTCTGTAAAACTAAGGTAGCAAACCTTAGTGAATGTAGGAAATTTCTCAATCCTCTCTGTGAGAGTTATGTATACACTCAAACCAAAACTCTCCAGTCAAAATCGTAAAGCCTGAAGAGGCTAGGAAAAGAATACTTGTAAAGCCCGGAAGGGCTTGTCAAAGAATACTCACTACTAGCCATAAGTAGCTGATAAGAAAATGCTAGCGTTGGTGAGTGAAGCCAAATGGGTCAGGGGTGGTCGAGAATACTTGAAGAATTAAAAGTGGTTTAAGAATACTAGCGCTGGTGAGTGAAGCTGGCGGGCCAGAAGTGGTCGAGAATACTTGAACCAAAAGTGGTGTAAGAATACTAACACTGGTGAGTGAAGCTGGCGGGCCAGGAGTGATCGAGAATACTTGAGCCAGGAGTGGTCGAGAATACTTGAACCAAGAGTGGTTCTAACTTGGGTGGTTCATAATACTCATTACTAGCCTGAAGAGGCTAAGAAGAATATATTAGCATTAATGAGTGAAGTCAACGGGCCAGAAGTAATCAACAATACTTGTGTACTTCATTTCATATCTAGTGAAACCTTTCAGTTGAAGGAGATTGGACGTAACTCAAATTGAGCAAACCAGTATAAAAATGATTGCACTATTTTATTTATTGTTCAGACGCGAACACTTCTTAATTGACAAATCTTGTTGAAAACTTCGTCTATTGTATAATTCTCATTAAAATCATTTTTCAGACGAAGGCGCAAATTTTGTTTAACAAACATATTATGCTAGAAGTTTCATCTACTGCTTATCCTTAAACGAAACATCTTGAAAAGGAAAATACAAGAATTTTAATCATTATTGTTATATGAATTATTTTCTTACAGCAGACGATAAATCTTTCAAACGCAATAATCTTGATTAAGCAAAATCTGCATAACTGTCTGATGTTCAAAAGTGCACTGAACGAAGAACATCACTCTTGCAAAAACGTTTTTAAAATTCCTTGTTCATACACACATATTCAACCCCCCTTCTATGTGTATTTTCGCTAACTTCAAGTATAAGTACGTGGATGAGTTTGAGTCACGGGAATGGGGACGAGTATCATAAAACCTGTACCCAACCCGTCCCGTTACCATCCCTAAGTGGGTTCAAATAGTGAGACCCAATTAGGGAAATAATCAGAGCTACATAACATAGCTAATGAGGGAAATGGAAGTGCAAAAGAGATGTTAAGGTATATATGGAAAACAAAGAAGTTTGGAGCAAAAACTAAAAAGTCCCTAAACACAACTTATCCTATGCATTTCGATATCAATGAACTTCTCAAAAAGTTTAAGCTTTGTCAAACATTACATATAATATTTTCTCAATGAAACCACCAATCCAACATAGATGCACACTTCCATAATCCATAGTGGTGGACTCAAACAAAAGGGGAGGGGATACCATTATTTCTACCTTTCAAGGAAAGGCCTTACAGAAGTTTGTGGATAGCTTTTTAAGTTTGATCCTTTAAGATCCACCTGAAGTAAAAGGGTTTTAGGGCTTATCATTGATCAACAAAAATTCAACATAAATAGCCATGTGCATGAACAACAGTAAAGTGAATATCATTTATCACTGGGGCCTTGGACCATATATCCACTTAAGACTAGAAAGGAATAACATATCGTTGTATTTTGGGAAACTGGACCTATACACGACAATATAAATGTCACTAAAGGAAATCAATACAAGCTCTAATCTCTTCCACATTTTAAATATGAAATGCTAGAGTCGTGGCTTAGGGCCCTTTCTTTTAGGAATCTCTAATGCATCATAATGACCAAACCCATGGTAGAGAACTCTAATTGGGTTTTCCTTGCCATATTCTTGGCCATACTCAGCAATTGATATCAAGCCACCAACATCCTTATCATACATGTATACGGTGATAGGCATCCTGCATAGGCCTCTACCATATTAACAACTGCGAATAGTACGCAACTGAATAAAAGGAGGGTGAATTCACTTGTCCAAAAAGAAGAAAGGCACTTACTTCAAAACATGTGAAGCAATGAACAATTCGGGTTCACCTCCCCACACATGAGGCTTCCTTATTTGTGAAATATATGTATCAAAATCACCTTCAATAAACCTTGAGACATCATGAGACAACCATGTTCATTAGTAAATAATCATTTATCATTTTCATCATTATATATCAAACAAAATCAAACATTACTCGAGAAAGTGATGTATGGATTATATTAAAAGTGCAAAAATAAATAAATAAAAGTGATGTTGGAGATAAACTAAAATTGACCCGATTCAGTTAGGAATGTCAGCAAATTACTCCTTATAAAGCCTTGGTCTTTAATCGAGCCGAATGGTGTCATACAACCAACCTCACCTAGTGGGATAAGATTTTGTTGTTGTTGTACTCCTTATAAGGTTTGTTCAACTCTTCCATTAAACTAGATTTTGGAATTGAGTTAAGTTTGGTTTATTTCTAATAATATAGTATCAAGAACCAATGACCAATCATTTTTATGTTGTGCGACCTAACTACAGACATTTAACCTTACATACTTTACACTCCAAATGTCTAGTCATGGATGTGAAAAGGACTGAGGAGTATTAACTATTAAGATGTCCCACATCGGTGGGAGATATGGCAAAGCTATTCATCATAAGACTTGGGCAATTCTTCCCCATTGAGCTAATCTTTAGAGCTTGGTTATGTCATGTTAGTTTCTAATAGTTTTAATATAAATAACTAATAAATTTTGAATTTTGAGAAAAGAAAATTTGGGCATCTAGTAGGAAATCTGTTTGTACCAAAGCATATTTTCAGAACAAAACATGAATATTGAAGATTAGCTCTTGCTTTTTATGAAAAGCATAAACAGCTATTGCAATGTCAACACTACATTTTATTTTTAGCTGTAAATGCGTTATGAGGGAGGGGGAAACAGATTTAAAGAACTGTATGAAAAAACTGTATATCAAGCAAATTAATCAACGGAATGGTACAGCTACCCAATATGTTGGTAACTCACCATTCAGTCTCTTCCCTTCTTTTGATAAACTCATCAGCAACCTGACATAAAACAGACAAAAATCAAGAACATGGGCTGAGGTAAAATAGTGACCAGATGACTTCAAACTTTATTTGTAACTTACTATAAGAATAATTTGAAATCAATAAGAAAGCAATCAGCAATATAAATTTCACGATCACTTTGAATTATAGTTAATATTGTGCTTTCAATTCTTCCATTTTATGTTTTTTCAATTAGTTTGGCTGCCAGGAGGAAAAAACGGCAGAAGTGGGGGGAAGGGGGATTAGACTTGTTAGCATGATGTAACATACTCTGGCTCGTAAATCATCTGCTAGCTCTCTTTGAGTGCTTTCACTAGGAGGGGGCTTTCCAGACCTCAAACAGGCCCCACGAGCAACAGAACCGAACAAGCATCTTCCATCCCCCGGTATTCCTGCTCAGCATGATAAGTTTAGTAAACAACGCAGTGACAATGTACAAACGCCTAGGTTTTTATCTACACCAATTTGCACAAATTAATGCATAAGTAATCATGTGAATAGAATTTATATGCGTATGTATCTAGACTCTAAAGTCTTAGCGGAATGTGCATCTCACCAATTACAGAATAATCAGTATAAACTTTCTTCCCATGTGAGAATTTAACATTTGACTCATATTCATTGCAGTCATCGTTCCTATTATCATTTTGGGAATGTGTCTCAGCGTGAGCAGGTTCAGAACTTGAATTACATACAAGTAATCCAAAAATCAAGCCAACTGATGCACATCCCCGTGGCCAACTTACTGGTCCCAAAGTACACTTAACTTTGCGAAGCATTTTTTGTTTAGGTACCAAAAGCCTCATGTTCATACTTTGGCATGCCAATGAAATTTCATGATACCTCTTCCGAGGTACTACAGAACTAAAGAATTGAGCATTGCCCCTTTGCTTGGAGCAGCAAGATCCAAGAAAACCTCCTCTGATTGTTTGGCCCATAATAGTGGAACAAGACAATTTTGTGCAATAAGAAAGGCCAACATTATTTATCTCTGACTTCCAAGGAAACAAATTGGAAGAAGATGAAGTGGATATTCCTCGGGACCAAAGGCCATGAATGCTACTGCTCATCAGCAGCTGAGTACGACCTTTCAGGACAACAGCATTTATTGAAGATTGACTAGCAGGAAAGCAAACAATCATGTTTACATTGCCTGAATCAAAGCCAAGCATTTTGATCAGAAACTATCCAAATTCCAAAGTAACATTTCTATGAATACACATATTAGCATTAATATCCCCACACACCAATATTACATGCTAGTGGCTAGCTTAATTCTCAAGAGAACCAGTTCACTGGATTTTGAAGTCCTTATCATGTGCATAAAATTCATCACTTGGAAATTAATATAATTGCATAAATATTATTTTAAACTAGTATACAATACAGTTTTAAAAACACCATAAATGTCAACTGTTTAAATTGTGGTTAGCAGCATATTCATCTGAAGTTCAAAATGGCAGATCAACACAAAAAATGCTAATCCAACAGAAGGATTAGTAAAATTCACACTCAATAAGATAACAATCACATTTATTAAGACAAAATTTATATGAGCAATGACCATATATGTTTTTTTCTTTTTTGACCATTATCCATGTATGTATCCAAAAGACTCAAGGCACTCATATCTGTCCATACCATTGATGATTTATGGTGTCAAAAATTCAATCTCAATATGATTACACAACAACTAATCACTCAATTGAAGGATTACATAGAAGTTCGTGGTTTTATTTACCCAAAAAGAAGAAGGGAAAGCAAAAGATTCTACATCATATTAAGTTCTTGGTTGTTATGGACTTATGGCATTAGCAAGCATGAGATTTCATAAAAATAAGGACCAAACTCTACCTCTAGAAGGATAGAATATTCAAAATTTATGATGTTTTTTACACCACGAACAGAAGGAAATAGCCTGCCTAACTCCCATGATACAGTTTCTAAATTTAAGAGAAAAAAAAAGTAAGTGGATCAGAAGTGTGAATTCCATTATTTTCCTCCCTTAGCATTTACATCAATCCATACCAAGGAAATAGTATCCTGGGAAAAGCAAGACTAAGGATGCATTTGGGTAAACTGTTTAATTGATTACTAACTCAATGAGCTCTTATCACACAAGCTTATTTCATAAATTTGAACATGAACTTACCAGAATAAGCTAAAAACAAATTATTTCGATAAGCTTCTCCAACGAGCTTACTGAAATAACATAGAAAGAGCTTAATGGAGTCAAACTATTTTCTTAGGTCTGGATAAATTCCGTGGAAACTCTTCCAAATAACTCCTAAATAAGCACGAAATCACAAACGAAAACAGGAACCAACCATGTGATTGATTCTGATCTTTGAAGACATCTGAGACTTGTCATTTTTCTATTCTTTTGACGATGGATAAATGCAGTCTACCCAATTAAGTTAAGAATCCATTCAAACCCTGTGGTGCTTCTTTTCTCCTATTTATCAGCCGAGATTATACTATCTTACTTCAGAAATATATAATTGAACATGACTAGAATGCTTCCTTAAGAAGGATATACATAACAATTACATACAAATTTTAAAACTAAATATATAATCAATCTATACTTAATATTTACCAACAACATTCCAAGTGAAGGAACTTCAATACTTCATTATGAGACAAAGTATAGGTGCTCTTTACATGAAGAGAAGTTCTCATTATTCAAGCTTGTTCCAAGCCGGTAAATAAATGCCTGAAACTTTGAAAAATGATAGGTAAGTTGCTTCAGGACCCAGCTTGCTGTAAACTCTTGACAAAATTTATCTAATTTAACATTTTAGCTTTTCAGTTATTTACATGAATTTCCACATTTCTTCCAATCCAATTTGAAGCCGTTTCGGATATTTTTTGTAATTTAAATAAAATGGAACCCATGTCAGTCATCATCAACTCCCCAAAAGCACCACAATGACACCAATTAAAAAAAAAATCCACAGATTAAAACATGTCATGATTTAAAATGTGGTTCTTGATTGCATGAGCCTGTGAGGAATTAAGGAATAATAATAATAATAATAATAATAATAATAATAATAATTGAAATTCCCAATGACTCCTACAACTACAATTTATTTATAAGATATAAAAAATAAATAAAGGGGAAAAGGGGCAATTGAGAGAAGAAAGAAAAGGTTGAGGGAAAGCAAACCTGTTGAAGGCAGTGAAATGAAGAGTGGGTGAATGGGTTTGGGGCTCTAAAGAGTAAAAGCTGCAATCTGGAATTGAAGAAAAGAATAATAGTTGGAAGATTTATGGGCGAAGCAAGATTTTGAAATGATGTTTCAGAAGCGAGTGTTGTTCTTGTTCAGCTCCTCGCTGCAACATCTGGTTCCTTCTGGATTGGGTCATACGGGCCAAGCCCAATCCTACTGGGTCGGATTCCACTGGAGTTGGGCTAGACATTTTATAAACGACCCTTGTTCCAAAGACAGTTATTTCTTGTTAGACAACCGGCTACATAAAGTGGGTAATTTATTGTACGAAATATCTACTAATTTGTTTCAAGGATAGTTATTATACACCCATTTATATTAAAGTGAGCATTTTTACAAAGTATTCATTGGTTAAGCTAATTCTATTGAAAAATTTGACTGATCCTCTTTGGTGGAGTCTTTTCTCTCAATTACTTTTTTTTTTTTTTTCATATGTAAGACTTTATATGAGACCTTAAAGGAACCAAATCTAATATCATTCGAATTAATAATTTATTAATTTATAGTGAGCATTTAAATAAAATAGAGTACTTTTGTAGTATTGGACAAAAAATAACATTGAATATTTTTTAAAAATTAGAGAACTAAATTAAACCATTTACAAATAGTGGTGTTATTGTGTCTTCAAGTATTAAGGTCTCGAGTTCAAGTCTTGAATTTGATAGAAATTAAAAATGACGTTAGGAAGGTTAATGTATTCAAGGTTCCAAGGGAGATTAATTTCTAACAAAGTTAATAGATACTTCTATTAATACCATGATACCAAAAAGAATACTGAAACCAAATCAAGTCTTAAAAATAACTAGAGGGAAGAATATATAATTTATTCTTAATTTTATTTTTATTTATCATAATTATATATAAATTAAATTTTAATATTTTAAAATAAATTATCAACAAATAAAAATAAATTTTGTTACAACATAAATTATTTATCATAAATTTTAAATATAATT